AAAACATTTTTTCTTGCTTAAAATTACCATAAAAGGAAAATTTTTAACAAAACGGACGCGATTAGGAGAGAGTTTTTAGTTTTATAAAATTATTTTTTATACTTTTAATATATATATATATTGAATTTAATTAATAATTTTTTATAAAATTATTGTTAAATTATTAATGAAATAAAAATAATATTTTTATAATATAATTAGGGCTTCTAATGATATCATTTTAATACTATTTCAATACTTAAATTTATTATAAAAACATATAGGTAGGTCACAACCCATATATTAAATTTATTATAGATTGGTACTATTTCAATATCAGTTCAATACTAGTTTGGTACTTTTCAGAGCCCTAAATATAATAATAATATCTTTGTATTATTGAAAATTTTTTTAAAAAATATTCTATCAATAGAGAAACTATAACAAAAAATATTTCAAGTTTTATTAATCTATAATTAATTTATTAATATAATGAAATAATTTAAATAAATCTATTGTTTTTTTGTAAATGATAGAAATTTAATTTGCTATCTCTTTTTAATTAGAATTAAATACGTAATATTATTTTCATATATATTTAAAAAAATTAATTAATTATTTTTATTCCTTGCATCTTTAAATAAATAAATACGTATATATATTTTTATCTTAATCAATTAATTAGTTATTAAATTATTGATAAAAATAAAGATATAATTTTAGACGGTTTTTTTTTGTCCCAGACTATTTAACGTTATTATTTTTTAGTGTAATTCACTGAGTAAATCTCGACTTTTATAAAAAAGGTTAAGACGAGAATGTTCTATTATTGTATCATAAGTATTATTATAAATAGTATCCATTATGCTTAGTAAAGTTTCGTACTTGTCCTGTAAAGCTTTACTAGTGTAGTTTGGGTTGAAAGTAGAATATCCGTAATATGATAGGCAAAAGTATAAATAATAATGCCGATTTTATAAAAGAAACACAATTATAGCAACCAATATATTTTTGATGAAATACAGTAACCATATTTGAACCTATTTGATTCGTAAAAAAATCCAGTAGAAAGGAGAAATAGAAATGTTAATATACTGAAATGTTTTGATAATATGTAAAATATTTACGACAAAATTAGTAATTATCAATATGCATTACTGTATTTTTGAAGGTGTCTTTATTTTTAATCACAGAATAAATATATCTAAACACAAAGATGTATCGAGATTTCCATAACGAGAATCGGAAGAAAATATTGACTCAAATATATAACGATTAGATTTGTTCCGTGATAAATAACTCCAAGTGTACAAAAGTCAAAAGGCGAAAAGTGTACAATGTATTTCATTATGTAGCACCAAAAGTATTATGCGGAAGGAGAAGAATTCCGGCGCTCGTTTCACCTAGCAATTCATATTTACATTGTGCTCCGACTAAATTTACCTAATTTAGATATTGACATGAATTCTTCGGTATGCAATGTATACTGTGATACAAATACATCCACCGCAACTTTTAAGAGCTAACAGCGGGGTAATTATTTTCGAAGACGCACAAGGATTACTAGATCTTATAATTGTAATATCTATATTCAATTGTTGCTTTTAAAGATAGTTGCCCAAATTCGATGAAGCTCATTTAGAGCAAATGATTAAAAACTTTATTATACGTGGATTTTATTAAAGCAATTGTCGAGAAAATGATGAAATTTCAATTTGAGATAATATCTAAAGGAAATTAATTACTATTAGATTGGAAAATTAATTATGCTACAGTATTATTAAACATTAATAAATAAACTTTTTAGTTAGTGTTAACATCTTTAAAAAAAAATCCATGATCACAGAACAGTCAAGTATTTAATTGATCTTATTTTTTTACCATAAAGTTTTTCTATCAAGAATCATACAAATTATCGCATGGTGCACTGACGAAGACGTCGAAAAGAGGATTACCTAATCATTTATATGTAACAACAAATTATATATGTAATGGAACACAATTAAATTTGTGTAAATAATATCGTATTTACTTGATTTGTTTATAAACACTCGTTCAAGGACTCTCATTCTAACTTTAAAGCTCATCATGAAATTTCTTAAATTTGTATTTTTCCTTACCATTACATTCTTCGGCAATTTCATTTTTGCTGATGTACCTCCTGTTTTCAACATAATGTTATCCTTAAACTCAACTGCATCGGAATGTCCTAGCGGTTATTACTTATGTTCATCAGGAATAGTATGTTGCCCCACGGGTGCATCTTGCCTCCCTAACTATAAATGCAACATTCCTTGCACCTCTCAAGATATACCTTGCGGTACAGGTTGTTGCCTTAGCACTCAATCTTGTGGCTCAGATGGATTGTGCCATGCATTATCGAATCCTAATCCTAACTCCAATACATACAATCCTTACACGTACGAAACGGACTCTCCAACGGACTCTCCAGCGGACTATTATACCACGAAAACTACAAGCACTACGAGCACCACAAAAACTACTAGCACCACGAGCACAACAAGTACCACGAGCACTACGGGTATTACAAAAACTACGAACAATCCGACCATCACAGGCCCCGGTGGTTTTATTAGCAACGGAAATATAGTCAATTGTAATAGTGTTTTAGCAATAGCAATTCTGTTCATTCAAGTTTATTTGGATTTAATGTAATACTCCTTTATGGCAAGAATTATTGTTCGACATTATTAAACACTTAATTTATTTCATATTCCTAATACAATAAATTTGATCGAAATCGAAATCACAAGTGCAAATATTTATGCTTTTACCCGATTACTGTAATGACGATACAGTAGTCATGCAAGTCATGCAAGGCTATTATTACAGATTGTGGTACAAATACCGGTATCTATGAAAATGATGTAATGATTTTTTTCACTGTCCAATTCTTTTTCGTATGGGCCCTCCCCCTCCCTAAAAAAATAAATTTGTATAAAGGAGGGAAATTATTGGTGACCTACTTGTCAACTTGTAAGGACTTGCTTGACAACGTTCTCATAAACTTTGCAAATAAGGTAATGAGTGAATGGAGTGCTTGGAAACTTACTCATTGATTGACATCAATGATTGGTTCAGACATTCAAATACTGCGGTTCCTTATGCATGAATCTGGTCCTCGATACTTTTGATTTTTTTCGGTAAGACACTATAAGAAAATATGATGAACCACGATAAAGAAACGGTTAATAGAAAACATGAATAAAGAATTGCGAGTAGAAGAAAATATAAATGATGTTGAGGTAATAAGTAAGGATCTACGATCATGAATATTGATGACGAATAAAGAAACAGGTGTAACGAAAATAGCAGTAGATAGTAGATATCTGTAGTAGGTTTAGCAGTGTATCACTATTCCCATTTAATTTCTTTATATGCTAAATAAATTTGAGTGAGAATAATAAAAAAAAGGCACTGTAATTCGATTTTGGCATTAATTTTTAATACGTGTTTGTTTTGGTGATACAAAAAAAAAAGAGGAAATTTCTTTTCAGAATATTAAAAAAAAATAGAAATTCTCCAAACGAGTGTTATTTTACTAATATGGAATTATAGGAAATGTAATAAAATCAAATTTTTGCTTTTATTAAAAAAATTTTTATTTATTCAACTATAATTGATAAATTTAAAAATCAATATTTTTAAAAAATAAATTTCAAAATAAACCAAATTCTAATATTTATTATAATATTTACACCGCGATAATATATTTCCGATTTTTTTTTTCACATAAGCAAATTGGATAAGTGAGCTTTATAATTAAATTTAAACATAATATTATAGATCAAATATATATATATATATTTGATTTTATTGTTAGATATTTAAAATCAAAAAATCTTTACTTTTTTCACAAATACTTAAATTAGATAAAATCTATTATAAAAAAATGTCAAATTTTTTTTATTTATAAAGAACAAGATAAAATTTGAAAATTTTTTTTTTTCAAAAAAAAAATCCAACTTTAAAAATTATATAAATTTTATTATATATTTTTAATGCTAATATACTGTAAATTAACAACCATTACTAAATATGTAAAATAAAGTAAAATCAATATTATTTATTTAACTATTCTAATTTAAATTTTTTTGTAATATTCAATTAATTGTTATTTATTTTTTTAATAATAATAATTTAATATTTTTTAATATTCTTATTTATATTTAATATTTTAATATTTTTATTTATATTTAATATTTTAATATTTTTATCTATATTTAATATTTTAATATTTTTATCTATATTTAATATTTTAATATTTTTATCTATATTTAATATTTTAAATATTTTTATTTTTATTTAATATTTTAAATATATATATTTAACAAAAGTTTATATATATTATAATAGTTTAAATAATAAATTAATACAATATAAAAAAAAAACTCTTTCCCGTATACAACATTTTTCTTAAAAATTTTCTTTTATAGTAATTTTTTTCAAAATTAAAGAAACAAATATTTTTTTCATCTTTTAATATTCAAAAGTTCTCCATACCTCTCTTATCTTCACTACAAGAATTTCAAGGAAACCAAAGAAGTATACTGATATATCAGAATAGGACCTCTGACTAGAGAAGAACAAGTTTTGAGGGCTTGTTTTTCTCTTAAATTATATAAGGGAAGGCCCATGTCAGTTGCTTTTTTATAAATCTTCCTTAAGATTCTTCATATTTTCACTTCTCATTAATATACACTTTTTATCAAATAAACAAATTTTCTATTTGAATGGCTTCTCTTTTATTTAAAAAATTAAACTCTACTTCAATATTATATATATTATTGATTTGAGGCACCAGTAATATTTATAATACCTACTTTTCAGCATTGCTCAGCACATACTGCTGCGCCACAAAAAATCAAAAATTTTCACTCAAAAAATTTCTCACTAAAAAACCACAATCAGCTTACTCCTGTCAATTGATTATCATTTCAAATTCAACTAATTAAACACTATCAAAATTCAAAACAAACTTGTACTACCAGTACACTATATAATGATTAATATAAACAAAATTACTTTTAATAATAATAATCAAAACAAAATTATATTACTGACAATCAAACCAATTATCACATCAGCTACTAAATATACTAATACAATAACAACAACTACTATAACAACAAACAATATCACATACATTTTATTATCTATAGTAACCAAAGAGCTGAAGAGATGGAATCACGAGCCTGTCTGGGGATTCTCTTAGGGAAATAATTGGTTTTTTATCTATAGATTCTACAGTGTAATTAATTTAGTTTTAATCTTAGTAATGCTTAAAAAAATCATACTGCCATTAATCAAATCAATCACTATATCAACCACTAAATATACCAACATAACAACAATAACAACTACTATAACAGTAAACAACATTACATATACTTTATTGTTTATAGCTAGAAAGATAGAACCATGAGCTTGTCCAGAGGTTCTCTTGGGAAATAATTAATTTTCTACTTATAGACTTTACAGTTTATTTGACTTAGTTTTAGTTTTAGTAATATTAATGTTTTTTTTCTTTTTTCAATTACTTTATATTCAAAAACAAAAAGATTTTACAAAATTTTTTGAGTAGATAGGCATAACCACTATTCAAACATAGCTAGTATATAATATTAATTTGAATTTCTTTTTCAATATTAGCTAGATATGTATGTGTAGGCAAGCTAGCATTTAACTTGCTGCTTTATATATGTAAGAGATGTTGTTTTTTTCATAATATATATCTTGTCATATACAAATAAATTAAAGAAATAATATTTACCTATGAGGAAAATCTCCCAAAAAATTAATACAATATAAAAAAAATTTTTTTAAAAAAAACTAAAAAAAAAATATTATATTTTTTAATGCTAATTTTTTTTCTAATATTATAATTTCTTGTATATAAAAGTCTTTTATTAATTTTTTTTTTTTTTTTTTTTTTGTAGGTAAACATCATTTCTTTATTTATTTGTATAATGATAGATATACATTATGAAAGAAACAACATCTCTCATGTGTATTAGTACAATGAGTTAAATGCTAGCTTGCCTACAGTAACCACTAGACTAATATTGAAAAGAAATTTTTAAAACAATATATCTCGTCGGGTGATTCCAAGCAGCTATGATTACCTACTCAGCATTAGGTGGAAGAAGGTTAGAAAAATCTGAAATTAGTTTTAGAATACATTTAGTGAAGTTGAATCCACTTTGGATGTATGAGTCTGCTACGATAATAGATGCATCTATAGTAGTTGATGTTGATATGGAATTGTTATTATCTATTTTGGTCTTGGCTAGATTTTTGGTTGTTTGTTTTGGGCTGTTATGATGATTGTTGTCCCATTTGATGCTGGTGAGAGGGGAGGTGTTTGCTGTAGCACAACGAAATATCCAAATTAATTTGTATAAATAAGCTAAGGTTTCGGTTGAAGCTTCGATCTAGTTGAAGAAATTAGTTGTGGAAAAGATATTATCTGTAATGCCACACACCAGCTCTACTAATTGCCAGGCATGTGAGATAGGTTTGTGGTTGCCATCAGGGTGAAAATATTGTTAATGGTAGTGATGAGTTGGTTAATATCTTCTGATGCTGATAGGTATTTGAAGACGTGTTGGATATCCTCAGTACGTAAGCTACACCGGGGACAATATGGATCAGGATATTTTTCTGGGTATAATGTGTGAAGATTTTCTCT